CCTCAACTTCCCGGGCCGCGCCGCCGCCTACGGCCACGTCCTTCGCCATGGCGTCCAGCAGCTTTCGCCACGCTCGGTCCAGCGCGTGGCGTCCGACGCTGGCATGGCCGCCGACGCGCAGCTTGTGGAGCTGCGCGAGCGTGCCCCCGCGTCGCCCGGCCAGGAGACGACGCCATCCGCTGGCATTGGCGCTGTGCATGGTGGTGCGGGCGCCGGAGAGCAGGTGTTTTACGGTGGTACGAGGAGCTGCAGCCCCGGCAGCGAGCAGCTTGTCTATGGGGAGCTGAGTGTGGACGACATGGAGATCGTGACCATGTTGCAGTCATTGTAGTTGTAGATCGTCAAATTTTGCAGACCAATAGTGTTGCAGAACCAGCAAGTTTTTTTTTGGCATAAAAAATCAGCAAGTATATATGATAGTACAGGTGCTCGTTTTCGAAATCCGATGACATGGCACTTTACACGTTTTCATCCTTTTTTTCGTCGACTTTACAAAATCTGACTGTGACCAGAGAATGCATATAACAAAATTATTGAAAAAACACAACAACCAACTATGGTAAAATCTGACTGAGATCAGAGAATGCATATAACAAAATTATTGAAAAAACACAACAACCAACTGTGGTTGTCATCCGCTATAAACCTCGGTACCCGACAACGATCTTCAACTTCATTGCCGGTGCCTTTGATAAAACCTGGAATCGCCAGGTACTCCAAAACAACACATCCAAGAAGAGAATGACACATATATGTCCACGGTGAGCGGATTCGAGAAAACTCCAAAAGTCGTCTTCACCAAGAAAACAATGCATCCGAGCATGCCTCCTACGCCCCTAATAAAACTCATGTTTGTCCTCGTCCCGATCTCCTCGATCTTGACTGGTTCCTCTACCCCAGCTCGTGCCCCCGACGATCGCCACTCTGAGCAGGGGCGTACCTAGGTTATACTACCAGGTTGCATAGAACACCAGGTCAAAAATCCTTTTCCTTCATACAGTTATCCATACATTGGTGTGTGACACTCTCGACTGTAGGTGAAAAGCATACGTCAGTTGTAGATTGCCACATGGTTGTTTTCACTCTAGGTCCACCCCTGGCTCTGAACGCCTCCACCCTAGCTCCAACCTTGTTATCGACAAGAGCGAGGTCATCGTTCTAGGTTACCCTGCTGAGGACCAACAGAGGATTGCGGATAATCTCAATTGCAGGCTAACATCCTTCCCCATTACATACTTGGGGATGCCGTTGGCAGACTCAAAGATCCTGACAAGTGCATTCGACCCGCTAGTGGGACGGGTGGCCTCTCGGGTTGAGACCTGGCGAGGACGGTTTACCTCCAAGGGGAGTAAAGCGGTCCTGATTAGCTCGAACCTTGCGAGCCTCCCCATGTTTATGATGGGGCTGTACATTCTTCCGGAAGGCGTCCATAGTGCCTTCGATAAGGACCTCGCTAGGTTCTTTTGGCAGGCGGCCAATGGCCGCCAAAACTACCACATGATAAAATGGGCGGATATCTGCATGCCTAAGGACCGTGGTGGTCTGGGCATCATTGCCTCCCGCAGCATGAACGTGGCCCTCATGCTAAGATGGGTCTGGCGGATTCTACGCGGCGAGGGAGGGTTATGGCTGCAGCTCATTCAGGCAAAATACCTTAGGGGAGAACCGCTCTTGGCTTGCTCCCGGACAGATGGCTCACAATTCTGGCGAGCCATCCAAAGGATCAAGGAGGACATCCGCTTAGGGATTTCCTTCTCCTTAGGGAACGGGCACGGGATCCAATTCTGGCTGGATCCCTGGCTGGGCATGGAGCCATTACGCGTCGCCTTCCCTGGCCTATTCTCGATTTGTGTAGATCCGTCTGTTCTTGTGGCCACGACCTTCCAAGATGGACAGTGGAACCTTGAGTTCCGTCGCTCGTTCGGACCGGCCGAGATTAATGCCTGGACTACATTGCGGGCCGCCCTGCCACTCGTGCTCCCGGATCATCCGGACACAGTTTCATGGCGGCAAACGCCGACAGCGGAGTTCTCAGTGGGCACGGCTTACCAGGCCCTTTGCCCGCCGACAACTCACCCCTGGCTTGTCCCTCTATGGAAAGCCCCCGTCCCATTAAAGATTAAGATTTTTATTTGGCAACTTCTACGAGATCGTCTCCCCTCGGGGACAGAGGTACTTAAGCGGCACGGACCTGGGGATGGTATTTGCCCCCTCTGTGCAGTACCGGAGACTGGGACACATATTCTCTTCTCTTGTACGGCAGCGAGGGTATTATGGACTTTCGTCCGCGAGGCGTTGGGGCCTGACTAGGAGGCCCTAAATCTCGCGGAGTTCCTGCAGCTTCGAGCTATACAGCCTGCACGACATCGCCGCCTATTTTGGCTTATTTTTGCGGCAATGTCGTGGACTCTTTGGACGACTAGGAATAAGATGGTGATTGAGAAGGTTTTCCCGAAGAAGGCTTCTAACTCCTTCTTCAAATTCCTTGCTTTCTTGCAGCACTGGCACCCGCTCTCGAGGCAGCATGATCGTGATCGCCTTGGCTTGATGATGGATGCGCTTTTGGCCTCGGCGCGTCGGCTGTCGTCCTTGTAGGGCCGCTCGGCGGTAGCCACTAGGTGGCTTTTTCTTTATATTTCTCTTATGCTTTCTTGGGCTTATTTGTGCTGTGGCCCCAGCCGTTTCCTGTTGGTTGCTGTTCAAACTTGGATCGTATGGACCGTTGCTTTATTTATAAAGCGGGGCGAAAGCCTATTTCGAGAGAAGAAGGTGGAACTGATGCATCGTTGAAGTGGACTTGATGTTTTTGGTGACACCAATCTGCTTATACGTTGATTTGCGCAGCTGTTTGTTGTTTGTAGTTTGTAGCTGCTGGAATTTAAGTGTATCCGTTGTTTTCTGGACATTTTGAAAAATGAGAAATAGTGTTGTGTTGGACACTTATAAAATCATTGATCCTTGTGTTCCTGTTAACATGATTGCTAGACGGCTTAATGATTGGATTATTTTGCAGAAAAACCAGGGAAAACAAGAAATGCTGAGGTGGGAGTAGGAATGTTCAAACTAATACTCCCTCCATCCCATAATATAAGAACCTTTTTGACACTAGTGTAGTGTTAAAAACGTTCTTATATTTTGGGACAGAGGGAGTAGCAAGTGAGATGTTTCATGTGATTCGTGTCTGGCGGATTTGAATGAACATGATCAAGCATTTTGGGTGTGGTCTTGTTTCGCCAGTTCTTTTGGTCTCTTTCGGTTGTAGTCTGGTCTGTTATATCTGCTGGTCCTAGCTGGGTGTTGCGAGGTAGCGTTTGAATTGCTGCCTAGAACTTCTTAGGTATTGTCTCGTGATATTTGAGGGTCCAACTTGTGGATGCCCTCTAGTTTCCTGTTATGCTTTACTTTCTGCTGGTAGTTTGTAAAAGGACGTTGTGGTTTCAGTCCAGTTATATGAAATCAGAGAGGTAGCTCTCTTTTTTCTTCTATTTTTTTAAGTTTCTGCATGCACTTGGCACAAATCCATCGTACCAACACAACAAGTTGTATGCAGTTAGCATAAATAGCGTCAACAACTATCAGCCTTCGACGATGACGAAGCAGGAGAGAGCTGGTGGAGAAGGCGGCGAAGATTTTGGGGCCACCGGAGTCGCCTAGGCAGGCTAGAAAGAGTCCAGACGACACTTTACGTAGAGCTGGAAGAAAGCTCTCTGCGCTGAAGTGCACTTGCAGTTCTACTTGACCGGAGGAGTGCCCGAGGAAGATCGTTCCTATCATGTGCATGTTACACATGGTCAATGGCGTCAAGACCTGGAAGAAAAGCGCACGATCGGCTTGTCCACGTGATGCGCATCGGCCGTGGCGGTGCGCGCGTCAATGCGTGCGTGCACGCACCTCTCTTTTGTTTCAGCTTGAAAATTGAAATGATCGCAAGCAACAGCGGAACAGGGACGGAGAGCGACGCGCTCAGTGCTCCAACACGGTGCACGCTCCCTGCAGGCTACAGGGACATGCACTAGAGGATGTGTGGAGGTGGTGCATTTCTGCGGTAGTTCTGTGGATTCCAAAATGTACTGCTCCACCGCCGGTGCCGGCGGTCTTTCCTCTCCCTTCAATGGCTCTGGCGGTCAGCAAGTTCGTGAACCAGATGCAGAACCACTCGTGAGATGCATGGATTCAGTGGATTCAGTGGATCACAACAGTTAGACGTAGTAACTTGACCAGACCGTTTGATCTCTGCTGAATGTTGGTCTTACCTTTACTTACTTACGAAGCCTTTTATCCCAAACAAGTTGGGGCAGGCTAGATATGAAAGCCTTTCACAAGGACTTCCCAGGAGGTCACCCATCCTAGTACTACTCTCGCTCAAATGGGTTTCATACCCATGGGACTGGCTAGTTTTTACGTTGGCTCGCCAAGCCCCGGGCTTGGGACCGGCTATGCTTAGAAGACATAGGCGGAGTTAAATGACACTGCCTTTTGACCTTCTGTTCGACACAACAGAAGGTTCTAGAAGACAAAAGGTTCTTTCCGGCGGATGAAAAGCGGATTTGGACCGCACGGACAGCGGACAGGAAAAAAATTGCAGAGCATGATTGAGTGTACTAATCTTAAGTCAAAAAAGGATCTGACAAATGCAAGCATGCCTGAGCTTGGCTGCTTGGGCCAAGCTCTTCTGATAACCAGAATTCAGAAACTATACTACTCCAGCTTCAACATTATGCAGAATTGGCTTTCGAGCCACCTATACAGCAGCAATATCTGCAGGTTCTTAGCTATGAATGGAGCATATGGACCATGAAGGAAGTTTCCAGGTTTTCACTGAAAACCAGTTTTAAGTGGATACTTCGCCTATGGGCCGACTGTACAAAGCTTATTACAGCACGAACGAACCATAACATTTACGCCGTAAACGTGTTCCACTTGAGACGTGTACACTCGTTCCAATTATGTACAGATTGGCAACAACAATGGCTGTGTCGCAATTGCGTGCGGAGCAACACCTACGAGCTGTCTTGCTTCGGTTTCTGGCTGAGCTCCGAGTAATGCCCTCCCATCAGCTGCAGTATCTCGGTCCAGAGACAGGAAGGATCTGTTGACACCGCGTCGCTGATCAGCTCTGTGCTACAGGAAGCAACAGCCCAGTATCCCGCCCGGATCTCGCTCAGGAGCTGCTCGTAATCCCAGGCTGCATGCCCCACGAAGAATCTCAGGTCCTCGGTATTGATAGCACCACTCTTCATCAGAACACCAGCCTTCTCCAGCTCCGTTCGAAAGCCAAAGCAGATGCCTGGTATCACCTCCTCAAACCCCTTCAGACGTGAGCTGTCTTTAGTACGGACCAAGAACATGCTCATGTCAACGGGGCCTCCGAAGAAGAGGGCGCAGTCGCCGAAAGGGGTTGTTTGGTCTTGGAATGATGATGGATTCACATTCTTGATCTTCGTGTAAAGTGGACGGTTTAGGATGACCCCAAATGGGCCATCAAAGGTACCTCTCGACCCAAGTCTGAGCAGGAGAATAACAGTTCTTTCAAAGACGCTGTCGTCATCGAGCACCTCAGTAGCTACCAAGACACACCCTGCCTCCGGCATTGTAATAGGGTGAGCCCACTTCTGAGGAAGCTGGTGTACTGCTTCTCCAGAGGACGCCTTTGACTCTGCAGGAACACTTGGATCTACCAATAGCTCCTGATCCAAGGATTTAAATAGTAAAGCAGAAAAAAAAACAGATATGATATATAACCCAAGGTGATTAGAAGATATTTTCTTTGCTTCTGTTTCCTTTTCAAGAACTTTAGCTCTGTGCTAATAACAATTTGAAATTCTCTTGAAAGGTATTTAAAGTAAATGTAACAAGGTCTGAGAAATAACAGCTTATCTGATGAAATCTTGATACAATATATAACTGCATAAGTTACCAGAGAAGGTCCATTTGTGTAATGCTTCTACAACTTTTCGCACGAATACCTTTTTGGAACCTTACATTTGAGCGCCGCTATATCACGGAAAGCATAAGTTTCTAGAATAAGTCATGTTCTAATGCAACAGCTAATTGAAGACATTGTGCATTTACATCTTCTTTGGAACATACTAGTATAGCACTATAGCATTGGCAGCAGTCATAACAGATGTTGGTATTAGTATTGACAAAAATTAGATTCATTATACATTATACAACCAGTGAAACTAGCTAAGATCAACTCACTATTCTTAATTTTCTTGGCAGATAATGAGTAATGTTAGGGAGTGGTCATAAATGTCTAGATTACATAAGTGGATGTCGAATTGTAGTTGATTAAAACCTAAAGAAAAGCTCAGTTAAAAAAAACTAAAGAAAAGCTAAGCTAAGAGCTCTACGGATTGTTAATAAGAACGTGCCACCCTCACCTGTTCCCGACGCACAAGATTTGCTCTGACATCTCTCCAGTAATTGCTGTTCGAAATATTAATTGGCTCAGTGGATTTTAATTCATCAGGTGGTTCGCTCAATCCATCAGAGCGATCTCCTGTTGGAACAGATGCATCACCACTTCCTGCATGGAGAAGAGACTCAAATGAGGCCAACCCATCATTCTGGTTGACACTTCTGCAGCAACAACATAAAAATACCACACCATGAATGAACTCTAATTAACGTAGCCAATACCAGAGAACCTGAAGTTTCCTCATACACTGTTTACACATGAAAAGCTCAGCACCTGATGGTGTTTTCTTTGTGTTTACTTGAAGTAGCCAAGCTATCAAAGAATATGGACAGTATATTTGGGAAGGCTCATCCAAACACCACAATTCAACGCGTAGATCAATTCAACAGCACTAAACACGAAACCACGCCTAGGATGCACAATGGTTCCAAGGTTCATGCACCAGTTACACCAGAATCAACACCGATTCTCCGAATTTCCATCTCTGAAGCCAACAGCATCAGGAACAGTTTGACTGCACACGGGTCAGGGAGAGCTACTCTTCAAATTTCACTAACTAGACCCGAATCTCCACCTTTCACTTGTCTGCTACCTCCCCGGAATCAACAGCAGTCTGCAAAAATGGCATCGATTGTACGGTCCCTTCAAGTCCCCGACAGCATCAAACCGTAACGAAAATGGTTCTAGCTTTTCCACATCCAATCGCGCAACAAAGGCCACACAATTCCGACTCTACTTTTGCACCAGCTCGCATCGGAAAACAACAGATGCTCAGCGGAGAGGGCCTCACCGAAAGAGGATGCTTTGCTCTCGGCTTCCTCGTCGCCGCCGCCGCCGCCGGCCCCGTCCTGGCCTCTCCTCCCCGACGCGCGCACCGCCACAAGCGGCCTCACCGCCAGGCCGCGCCTCCGCCACGCGGACCACGGGCCCGCCTTGCCGGCGGCGGCGAAGGGCTTCCCGGCCCGGGCGGCGGGGGCGGGGCGAATCGGCGTGAGGCACGGCCCGCCGGCCTTCATGTTGAGGGCCCACATGTCCGTGGCAGGGGAACGGTGCCACCGCCGGGGTCGTGGTGGAGATGCGAGTAGTGTGGAACCGCACGAGCGAGGCTGATCGAGTGGAGTGAATGGTTGTTTCTTTGTTCCGAAGGCGGATTTCGTTAAGCGTGGAAAGCGACTTTCATCCTCCAAAAAGATCTTTATCTGGCCTGGGTGCAAGTCTGCAAGACTACACATTCATGGTGTATTACAGTGCTGGATTTTCTTTGTTCTTTTATACTCCTACCAGAAAATACAGCCCATTGACTTGCTGCTCCAGTCGTGATTTTTTTCTTCGAATTACAGACATTTTTTTTCATATCAAAATAAAATTGACTGTAGTTACATGGTTAGAAGGACGGTAGTATTCTCAACCCATCAGAATTCAAGTACTAGGCTTTGACGTTGGCGCTCGCATTTTCCTCAATTCTTTTCAGGCCTTTTGCGATGTGCGTTCAGTGTAAGGAGATGTTCCCATCAACTATGAATGCATCTCTAACGACTTCTTCAATCTCAAGATGTATGTTGGCTCAGTGTTTCAAAAATACTCATGCGTTCATAGGGGTGAATGTATGTGTGTATGTATGAGCGTCTACGTCTGTACCATGTTAAAAAAAGAATTTGATAACATAGTCCTAATGTGACCTCCGATAACTAGATGTTCTCAAAAAAGTAAACAAACAACATCCAAACGACACTTAGTGTAAACTAAAACATCTCCGACAAGCTAGATAGGGTCTATCCTTCTATTATTGTAACCAGCAAAATAATGCCATAAAAGAATACTATAGTACTACTGTACAACACTTGTTTTTTGAATGCGTGGTTGTTGATAATAGTTGGAAAGATGTTGCGGAGAGCTTTAATTTCCAAAAACCGAATAACATGCTTGAGCTTTCTACCCTCTGGGACACTAATAACAAGAAAAGTGTGGTTGGCATTGCCTGTATTGCTACCATTTGGAGCATTTGGACTATGCGTAACGATATGTGTTTTCAGGGCGTGGCGTGGACAAGTACCCGTGCAATCTTGAGAAGAACCTGTTCGCTGCTCCATCAATGGAAGATCCTTTGTGTGGGAGGTCAATCGGTGCTGCTACGACGTTGTCTCCTGCTCCTGGACTGTCGAAGAGGAGAAGTGTTGCGGATAGCCTGGACAGGGGACTGGGAGGCAGGTTAGGAGGCTTCATGTTGAAGGCACACACGGGGTGAAAAGACGCGTCGCGCTTCTTCTACTCATGCAGAACTGCAGTCGTTTGTGTTGGCATTGTCTCTCCAGTCTTTGCTTCTTGTATCAATGAGGGTGTAAACTCTTTGAAACGTTTCTGATTTTGCTACTCTAGCTAGATCCGAGAGCTGTAAACTGTCGTACTGGGCTTTCTGCCCCGTTTTATTATAAAATGGGGCGGGGGAAACCCCTTTCGATAAAAAAATCTACTAGCACCACGAATTCTTTTAGCAACATCCAAGAGCATCGATCGGTGATCCTGAGCACCATCCACGCCCAATCTTTCTTTCTGCTATTTATTAACAACAAATTTGCACCTCTGTCTTGTGTGTCTCGCGGTGCTCGTCTCTACAACCCATTCCAGAACTCAATCAAATAAGCAACTCTAGTGATAACACTACTAGGATTGTAAAGATAAACATTCTTGAAACATGAAAACTCATAACCCATGAGCAAAGTTCACTAAACAGAGTTCACAATCCCCGTGACTATCCTTTCCCAAATAAACTCTTTATTTCTCCCTTACTACGGGTTGAAAGTATTTTCTCTGTGTTTATTTGTGTATAAATTTAGATTTGCAAGATGATATGCTTACAACATATGAAATTATCGAAATTTTTGTGTAAGATATTGTTGACGAATCAAAACTTCTATGCGTGAACTGCGATGGAAAGGGTGTAAGTGGCAATTTCATCGGATGCATTTTCTTAATTTCTATTACCTTGGGGGGGGGGGTGTTTGTCGTGATGGTGGTGTCTGGCTGTGTGAGAACTTTTGCCTCTTCGATGCTATGTTTGTCAAGTTGTAGTAGAAGCCTACGTGTGCTTTGCCATGCCGATTTGCTCTAAATAATTTCTCTATTGGTTGTTTACTGTGAGATGGATTTTGTTTACTATGAGGTAGAGGAAATAGGTGCAATATGGACGAAAATGGTTTGACAATGATTTCTTTTCCAAATCACTACTTAATCTCCAAGTAAGACGGTTTGTGTGCCTAGCCATCATATTATTTTTGTGTTTTCTAAATGTTTTAATGTGACATGAAATATTGCTTTGGGGTTGCAAGGACGTCACGTCTCGTAAACCCCAGTGGGCACTGTTGCGTTTTTGGTCATTTTAATGGGTTATATCACAACATTTTGATTCTCAAGATGATTTTCACATTTCGTGACTGTATTGCGCGGTTCCAACATGACTAATGGCCCCCATTGATTTTGGTCATGATAGGTGAGTACTTTCTTAACCAACTCACTCATTCCCTTCGGCGATATTGTGTTGGTTAGACTGTACTCTCTATAGAGTGGTATACATGGTCACGGAAAAAAATCGGCAACCAAGTTAGCACACGCACAAATCTAAGATAAAATTGTGTTTGCACTGTTGCAATATGGCATCTGTAGCGACGTTAGGCAACCGCAAAGTACTCAGTTTCCTTGTCATTCGCAAATATGTTTTTAAACACTAGAAGGGCCTTGAAGGACCCAACACTATTTTACCAAAATTGAGAGTCATTATATTTTCCATCAGAAACATAAAACTACAATCAAGCCCCTGACTTTTGCAGGAAGGACCTTGAACCGAATGGGAGAACACGATCACGTCCATATCAGCTTCCACTTGGGTTGAACCTCACCTTTGCTGAGGACAAACCACTTGGAGTGGCGAGATCACGCTGGCTGCAACACCTGAATACCAAGGCTCTGAGTAGGATGAGACTGCGCCTATATGACACAAAAGCCGAAGGAAAGAGTTGGGTCGCCATTCAACCAGAAAAGTCATCGATGATGAGGACGACTAAGTAGGCCATCAACCACTGTCATCCTAAAGCATGAAAAAATTCAGTAGGTACCATCACATATCTTCCAACGTCGACCAGGATGAACTTGACTCCGATCGCTCGACCGAAGAACTGCACCTCTCTCTACTATGTTCCCGTCACCTTGATGGCTACCGGCGCATAGAGGAAGGTGAGACCTTGCCTGTAACTCAGGGACATGGATGGCCTTATATCTGTCATGACAAACCATGTCGACGACCAATGCTCCAGCAACCATGGCTGCAATGTGTATTACAGGAAAAGGAGGCACTAGACCAGTTGTAAGGACCGAGACGATGACTAGAGGGGACACTACAAAAAAACACTTCCATGATTATACGTCTTTGTCATAGTAGGTCACGTTTTCTGTCATGCATGTACACACGTGATGATTCTATGACAGAATCAAGATAGTCATACCTGTGATGTCATAAAAGTGTTCCATGGCAATACTGAAATTATCAACATGAAAGTGTCCACTTCTATGACGATAAATGTCGCGTCATGGAAGTGTTTTCGTCAAGGGTAACTAACACGTGGCTTCCATCATAACGGGTTGCCGTTAAGCTATCGGGTACCGATTTGGATCCGATAACCCGTTAACAGCCCCGACCAATGGGGATTTTCCACGCGTAAAATTCTCATTGGCCAAAGGAACCACGTGTTAGCTCGCCGTTGGGACATATGTCATCCATTCAATGGACGAGAGGCGCCTATGATATGTCGACACGTGTCATGGCCCAACAGTGGCCCATTTAGGTTAAAAAGGCCAGCGCATTTGACTTGGTCAAAAGCTAATGGGTCAGCCCATGGAAAGCCTGTTAACGGTCTGTTCGCATATAGCCCATTTACAACCCGATAACTCACGGCCCGTTATGGTCTTTCCGAATTCGGCCCAACAACGTCATGTGGGTTGTCCAGTATAATTTTAGCCCGTTGTCACTTTTGGTCCATGTATGACCCATGATGTCTTTTGACCCATATGGGGCCTTCTATATCTTTGGGCCTTTAACAACCTGTGGTGACTCTGGCCCATAATAAACAGTAAATTGCTTTATACCCTTTAACGACCCATGATTCACTTGGACCTTTTCTAGCTCGTGTTAGCTTTTGGCCTACTAAGGGCCCATAAATTATTGGGCTCATTTCCGGCCCTTGATTACTTACGGTCCATTACTGGCCTATTCTTCTAATGGGCCAAATTCAGCCCGTGGTCAAAATTGGCCCGTTTGTGGCCTGTTAACCCATTGCGCCTTTTCCAACCCGTCATGTATTTGGGCCCATTAATGACCTGTTATGTGTGTGATAGAATTAAGCCTTTGCTGTCTTCCGCCTGTTAACAACTCGTTACCGTGCTGGACCGATACCAATTAGGCCGTTTACGGCCCATGTCGTGGTCCAGTTTTAGCCCACGAATTGTTGGACCCATGTGTGGCCAATGGATCCTACGACCCGTAGGAGGCCCATTGATCCTATGGCCCGTCGCGGGTTCATGGTTCCACAGTCCGTATGTGGCCCATGGTCGTTGTGGCCACTAGCAAACCAAGGAAAAGGAAGACTAAGGAAATAAATAAGCAAAAAACTAACACTAGGCTAGTAAGGCGATTGCACAGATTACATCCACTGGGAATCAAAATTCGCCACCAATGCAAATATAGGGAACACCCTACACAATACAAAAATGGCTTGTTGTTTTCTTCAGTCGGTCGCTGCCCGTTAAGAACAAATGTTGCATCGCAACAAAACAAATTATAGGCATATAAAAAAAGGAGGGTTGGCATAAAAGTTAATAGTCCAGCAGATAAATGCACCATCAGAAGTTCATATTAGATCCCGAGCAATCCAATTTTCTTTTAGTTGGATCGGTTTTTTTTCTGGTTAATCTCGGTTTAGATCGAACCGCCCGGTCAGTTTTTTGTTATTAAAGTGCTTGTGCATGTTTTAGTTATTCTTCGGCCGAGCGTTGGTTAACTATAGATTGCACACCCCTAGCCCAGTAACAGCCCGACAGGTAGCACTTGTTGTTTTGTTTTTTTAGTTATTTTCGTTTCTGTTTTTAAAAACAGAAAAGTTTCAACCTTATAAATTTAATATCTCCTAGGATACTTAATATTTTAATTTGATTCTTTTTGTAATAGATTGGAATTTTCTTAAAG